ACGTCTAGACTCTAGATCTAGTTATTGCGTAGATTTAGATTTAGATTTAGTCTAGATCTAGAATCTCTAGATCTAGAATCCAAATACATAAAATAAATTTTATGAGTTTAGGCCGGAAAAATTGTATTGTATACATTTCATAGTGTACGTAGATCTAAATCAAATTTGAATGAAATAGTTCATTTCTTTTTATTCTAAACACGGCAGATGACGTCATTAGTTAATGTATAAGCAATAGTGACGTCACAGTTGTATGCGTTCTTTTTCACATATATTAATGCTTTTCCGGTTGCATAAATAATACTGTTTCTCTACATTCGAATACGCATTTAATTTTTATTTTTCTTCTTTAAATAAAATTGTGGTTATACATTTAAAACATCTAACATATTATTTCCAACAAAAGTCCGTATAAAGTTCTCCATATATCGCTGCCGTTTCAGACGTGATGTCTGGCGAAAATATTTTGCGGACAGACATTTGAGAGAGAGAGAGAGGGAGAGAAGAGCGCACATGGCGTTTTATATATTAGGATAAAACATGTATAATATAATGTACAACTAATTAGCGACTACACACAAAAATATTAACCACTTTGAGATTTTTCTTTCCTCAGATGTGAATGTACACAACCCGGACAACCATGCAGTCCACCAACCACACCCAACCCACCCCACCGAGCTCGAGACGACTGAAATTGTAAAACGCCAGGTCCATGAGCATCCAACCCATCCGCCGCATCAGGAGCACGAGACGACAGCAGCACCAACTGCCGCTCCAGTCAAGCGCCAGGAGCACACCCACCCCACCCACCCAACCCATCCACCAACCCTCATCCCCCTTAAACGCCAAGAGCACACTCACCCCACACACCCAACCCACCCACCAACCCACGTCCCAGTAACAACCCAAGCACCAACCCTAATTCCCCTTAAACGCCAAGAGCACACCCACCCCACCCACCCAACCCACCCACCAACCCACGCCCCAGCTAAACGCCAAGAGCACACCCACCCCACCCACCCAACCCACCCACCAACCCACGTCCCAGACACAACCCAAGCACCAACCCTAATTCCCCTTAAACGTCAAGAGCACCCCACCCACCCAACCCACCCACCAACCCACGCCCCAGCTAAACGCCAAGAGCACACCCACCCCACCCACCCAACCCACCCACCAACCCACGTCCCAGTAACAACCCAAGCACCAACCCTAATTCCTCTTAAACGCCAAGAGCACCCCACTCACCCAACCCACCCACCAACCCACGCCCCAGCTAAACGCCAAGAGCACACCCACCCCACACACCCAACCCACCCACCAACCCACGTCCCAGACACAACCCAAGCACCAACCCAAGCACCAACCCTAATTCCCCTTAAACGCCAAGAGCACCCCACCCACCCAACCCACCCACCAACCCACGCCCCAGCTAAACGCCAAGAGCACACCCACCCCACCCACCCAACCCACCCACCAACCCACGTCCCAGTAACAACCCAAGCACCAACCCTAATTCCTCTTAAACGCCAAGAGCACCCCACTCACCCAACCCACCCACCAACCCACGCCCCAGCTAAACGCCAAGAGCACACCCACCCCACACACCCAACCCACCCACCAACCCACGTCGTTCCAACCCAAGCACCAACCCTAATTCCTCTTAAACGCCAAGAGCACCCCACCCACCCAACCCACCCACCAACCCACGCCCCAGCTAAACGCCAAGAGCACACCCACCCCACACACCCAACCCACCCACCAACCCACGTCCCAGACACAACCCAAGCACCAACCCAAGCACCAACCCTAATTCCTCTTAAACGCCAAGAGCACCCCACCCACCCAACCCACCCACCAACCCACGCCCCAGCTAAACGCCAAGAGCACACCCACCCCACCCACCCAACCCACCCACCAACCCTCATCCCCTTAAAACGCCAAGAGCACACTCACCCCACCCACCCAACCCACCCACCAACCCACGTCCCAGACACAACCCAAGCACCAACCCAAGCACCAACCCTAATTCCTCTTAAACGCCAAGAGCACCCCACCCACCCAACCCACCCACCAACCCACGCCCCAGCTAAACGCCAAGAGCACACCCACCCCACCCACCCAACCCACCCACCAACCCACGTCGTCCCAACCCAAGCACCAACCCTAATTCCTCTTAAACGCCAAGAGCACCCCACCCACCCAACCCACCCACCAACCCACGCCCCAGCTAAACGCCAAGAGCACACCCACCCCACCCACCCAACCCACCCACCAACCCACGTCGTCCCAACCCAAGCACCAACCCTAATTCCTCTTAAACGCCAAGAGCACCCCACCCACCCAACCCACCCACCAACCCACGCCCCAGCTAAACGCCAGGGACATGAACACCCCACGCATCCAACCCACCCACCAACCCTAATTCCCTTATAAATACACCAACCTGCATGTAACCAACACAAACAACTTGTAAAATAAACACTAACATTAAGCTGCACAATTTAAAATATAGCGAATTAAAAATGTCTATGTATAAATAAATTATTTATTCACTTGAATTATTTCGTGTTTTTATTCTTTATTTGTCCATACAACTTCTATCTATACAGATACATTTCGACGCATGGACGTTCTTGATTTTACCGTCACGGAGCATCAAGCAAAATGTGTTGGAATCAACTTAAATAAATTCATAGGGTTTTTTTATTTTGAGAAATCGGAAATAGCGAAAAGTACTAATTCCGATAACCGGAAATCACTCAAAAATTCGACATAAACCACTATGTAAGAAATATCGACTACCTAACTGAAATGGTACTCAAGTTATCGGTATTTAAGATAACAGAAGTAGAGTAAAGTGCCACTTCCGGATATCGGAGGTCAAATAAAAATTAAAAGTAATCCAAGTACACGATCTTTTACTTCTGTATGAAATTTCATTTACCCAATTATACTCAAGTTATCGTGTTTCCACGGAAATAAAGTGCCACTTCCAGTTACCAGAAATAGTTGATATAAACCTGCACATAAAGTCTTATACTTGCATATAAAATTTCCTCCTCCTTACTGCAACGGTACTCAAGTTATCAGCTTTTTAAAAACCGGAAGTAAAGTTATTAACACTTCCGGAAGCCGGAAATCGCCCCAAAAGTTAACAGAAAGCAACGGTACTCAAGTTTTTCCGGCCCCGGGAAGATGTAAAACGTCGAAATTTGTCAAAATCTCCATTTTATAATTTTTGACGAATACTGTCAAAATTTCACTTTGATTTTTGTGTACGATTACAACACTTCCTCTATCTTGATCTATACTCTGTATACGAGAAAGTACAAATATACGTACCCATTGCCCATCTTTCGTTTTAAATATTAGTCTTGGTGAGCCTCAAAGCTTAAAATTTCCCATTAAAAAAGTACAAGCACTGAACTGAACCCACACGATGCGCAACATTTTCCCTTCTATTTACTCTTTGAAGCTTTCTAAACAGAGACCTATATCACACTATAATATAAATACGATGATCAAATAGGAAGTCACTCGCAAAGCTGTTTGAAAGGTAGGCGGCCTTCTGAATATATTAAAATACCTTGACCGCAGGAGGGTGTTAGTATTTCTAGCAACTATAAATAAGATGTTACAGGCAAAGTTTAAAATCCGGCATTCTTTAGAATACCTAGACAATGTGTACCATACATTGCCTGAAATAGGTTGTCAAACTATGAAATACATCAATATTTCATACATTTCCTAGTCATTCTATAGAATACCTAGTGACAAAAAGGCAGATTTTTAAATAAAATCCCAGAATACCAAAGATTGGGGATTGGTTTAAGGATTTGGTTAAGGTAAGGGTTCAGAGTTTCTTCCAGGCATCTCTTCTGCCCCCCCCCCCCCCCCCCCCCCCTGGTAGAAAGTCTACCGCTCCCCGAACGAAATGGAATTTATTTAGAAAACATATAGCCTACTTTTACCAGAGTCCTCCCCCCCCCCGGACAATGTTGACCCCCCCCCCCCCCAAATCACCCAAATCAAGTGCACCCCCGGAGAAAGAAGTCTGGAAGTAACACTGTTAGGGTTAGGTCTAGGGTTAAGGTGACGGTTAGAGAAAGGGATATGTTTGGGCGTTTGGGTTAGAGTTAGGAGTAGGGTTATGGATAGGATAGGATTAGGGTTAGGATTGGGGTTAGAGTTAGTTTTACGGTTATGGCAAAAGTTAGGGTTAGGATTAGGACAAGCGTTACGGTTAGAAAGAATAAGTGCAATTAAAAATGCCATTCTAGAATTTTCCACGCTGCAACAAATAGTAAGTGATAATAATTCTGATTTATTCGTGCTCTCATAAAGATTTCCTGTTGTTCTTTTCGTATTTTTTCTTTAATTTTTTTACTGTTATTTAAGACGTATGCATTCAGTGAAAGGTAGCACTGGTAAAAGTGCGCACAAGTAAAAGCGCAGCAGAAACTTGTACAAAATAATGTGGACTTCATGTTCGGTTAGCGCATTTTTTTCTGAATGCGAATTTGTTTTCCGGGCGTAGTTTAATGTGCGCGCAATTTATCGCGGAGCATTTTTCTTATAGAATTTATATGTGAACTTATTTTACTGTAGTGTGGAGCTGAACTAAATTACCATCCCCATCTCGCCATCAAAAAATTTCAATCAGTTGTTCCATACCTCCACATTCACGATAGACCTGGGTGTTTCTATACACGTTAATTTTCCTTAGATGTCATATTTCTTTACCCATACATTACAATCCTGTAACTTATTCTATTTCAGGCTGCGTCTGTATAACAGAGGCCAACGCCCCGGCTAGTCTAAATACCGGCAATGACTGTTTGCGTCACACTTGGCTAGTCTAAATTACGGCAACGACTGTCAGCGTCACAGTTGGCGAGTCTAAATACCGGCAATGACTGTTTGCGTCACAGTTGGCTAGTCTAAATTACGGCAACGACTGTCAGCGTCACGGTTGGCGAGTTTAAATACCGGCAATGACTGACAGCGTCACGGCCGACGATCTACTGCTCCTGCTCTGCACGGCTCTCAGCTACTCTGTCATGGTCATCGCGTGCGTGTACAAGGCGCCGCAGGTGTACGCAGTCGTCAAGTCAGGCTCATCTCTAGGCATCAGCCTACAGAGCCTGATCATGGAGTTCACCTCGTGAGTTCAGTTCATTCTCGTTGGTTAGCCGAACCTACGTATATGTATTTTATGTTTTGGTATCGTGTGCCGTTGACATACTGCATTGGAACTATTTTCATCAGAACTATATGAATAACAAGACAATATCAAATGCATATACTTCTAAAACAATAACTATAATGATCAATATGGAAAATATTTCTATGTAAAGGACGACGTGGCATAGAGGTTGAGCACTAGTCTGCTAACCCGAAAGTCTTGAGTTCGAATCCGGATTCAAGCCAGTAAAACTACCCTGAGTCCACTCAGCTATATTGGGTACCAAACTCTCGTTAGGGAAAGCAAAGGCGGCTGAGCATAGTGCTGACCACACCTCCCATTCATGTACCAAAGGCAAGAAACAGGTGAAATCTACTTCATTTGCCCGTCTGGTTTGAAAGGGAACTTATTTTTCATATTTCACTGCGTATTTCATCATTTTAAAAGGGCATTATTTATCCCCATCGTTTCAGATACACAATAGAAATGACGTACCAGTACGCCATGGACTACACTTTCATCACGTATTTTGAGATCACGGTCATGTGGGCCCAAGGTGGGTAAAGCTGATATGGCAGCCCCGCTCCCCTAGGCTGTGGCGTCACTAGGTGGGGGCGTGGGGTGCGGTTCGCATCGGTCGACACCATTTAGCGGTTGACATAACGACGAAAAATCGTAAAATTTACCGTCAAAACAATGCTTTATCCAATAAAGATAACAAAATAGTCGGGGGAGAGAGGTGACACCGAATTAAAAATGCTATTTTTTAGAGAGAGGTGGGGTGACACTCTAAGTTACCCCCACCGGGTGACACCCGACCTAGTGACGCCACGGCCCTTATGTGTGCAAAACTGCAGCATCTGACATGAAAACACCACCCCACCCCTTACAGTCAACAAATCGGTATTGAGTGAACCTAACTCTCTCTTGCAGACGTTGTCTTATTTTACGTAGTCCTCAAGAACAGACATCTCCTGGGCCCTGGACTTATACCTTACATTGTGCTGTATCCTTTAAACCAGAGGTTCCCAAACTGGGAGATGTTCCCCATCTTCGCCTTTTGGGTTAGCAATATAAACAGAAAGTGATATTTCAACGCCAAGGGTACAAAGGTACAGAATATAGTCCAAGTAAAGACATAACAGTCAGAACCCAACGGGATCCGAACCTACCATTCCACACGGCACCAAATCGCCTCGCCTCCCAAGTCAGACGTGTAACCACTTCTACAAAAATAGAGCTTTCATGACAGACCACTATCACAATGTGTGCAGGGAAGACGCAAGCTGGCTTGACCTCTGAACCCCGAAGGGTCTGACCGCTAGCCTTATAAACATAGCAAGGACTATTATTCGACCAGACAGACGACACACGTACAGGGACGACGATACAGACAAATAGTAGCTTCCTTAAATGGGATAAAATATATAAAGATTATACACAGAATTCCTAAGCGTAGTGTTAATCAGAACAGTTTTGCGTTGATAGTGTTGCACATGGTATCTTAGTGTAAACAAAATGTGTTAAAATCTCGGAGTAATAGTTCGCTTTGTTTGATATTGTCCGCTTTAAACATTGGATTCTAAAGGGGGGCAAATATAGTCAGTTATATCGTTTTGTTTAATAATTTAGCAATCGAGTTTTGAATCCTCTATTTCTTTTAGATCTTTGGTTTAAGTTCTCCAATATTATAGAATCTGTCGTAAAAAAAACGTACAAAATTAAGTATTAACTGAAATAAATAAAATCATCGTATTTCCATTAGGGTTTAAAGAATCTAATAAGAACTAGCTGTGTTCATTTTGGGACAAATGAACTCCCCGTTCGTTAAAAAGAATGGTCTATTTAACCTAAGATGGTCCAAAAAGATTTCCTTGGCTTTAAATTGAGAACCACCAAATGTGCTTTTACTGCGATTCTAAAACTGTAATGATATTTGACAGTAATACCATAATAATTAGCGGACTTCAAATTATCTGCATGATTTGGCTCACAGTTCCTTAACAGTGGTCAGATATTGTGTTGCTATGGCAGTGATGGCCAAAAGATGGTTGCCAGATTGGATCATGTACGGTTTGATAGTAAGTGGCATCAATAATGTTGTTGTGGGAAATTGGCAGTCTAAAATGTTTTTTGTGTGTATGTGTTACGTGTAGTAAGTGGCATCGAAAACGTTGTTGTGGGAAATTGGCAGTCTAAAATGTTTTTTGTGTGTATGTGTTACGTGTAGTAAGTGGCATCGATAATGTTGTTGTGGGAAATTGGCAGTCTAAAATGTTTTGTGTGTGTATGTGTTACTTGTAGCAAGCTGGTAGACGTGAATCGAAAATCTGATTATTTCCCTTGCAAGTGAACTCTTCTAAAACATTTTGTCTTGTTAGTGGTATCACTATGATGATACTATCATAGTATCAATTTCCGACCAGAATTATGGTTAGGGGTCGTCCATAAATGACGTCACACTCGTAGGGGGGAGGGGGGTCCGTAATTTTGTGACAGTGTGTGATGAGGGGGAGGGGGGGGGTCAGATGGAGAGACGTCACTTGTTTAGCATTTTAAAAAAGCAATGTTAGAAAATGAATTTTAGCCGTTATTTCGCGTTTTAGAAAACGGTTTTAATAAATAGTAATAGGAATTGATTAAAATACTCTATTTTGACAGAGTTCTGACAAGATTTTGGAAAAATATCGATGTTTTAAGAAAAAAAAATCAACAGCAATTTTTTTTGGGGGGGGGGGGGGGTTGTAGGCTGAGGTGTGACGTCATTTTAGGGGGGGGGGGGGGCTGGCTTTCTGTGACGACGTGTGATCGAGGGGAGGGGGGGGGAGGAATCGTCAAAAAAGCTTGACGTCATTTATGGATGACCCCTTAGGCTTTGGTTTGAGGAGAGATTAGGGTGAGCGTTAACATTAGCAAGTTTTTATTTCTTTCAATTTCCGTTTAAAATATTGATGCATCAGCATACATTGGTATAAAACATACCCCACAATTTCATGAATGAAATGCTTTACATAGCCTGGAGTTCAACGCAGGAAGAGTTAGCTCTGGTTTGAAAGGGTCGAATGATAGCGTCAGTAAAAGGTTTATTTTTCACAATTTTCAAATTTTTATATTGGCCTCTCTAGCGTCAGTAAAACGCTCATAAATCCCATTTCAAATGCGTACGCCAGCAAAACACATTTCATATCGTTAAAATGAGTACATATTTAGCATCAATAAAAAGCTTATATTTGACATAGTTCAAATGCGTATATATTTAGCGTCAGTAAAAAGTTTATATTTGACATAATTCAAATGCGTATATATTTAGCGTCAGTAAAAAGTTTATATTTGACATAGTTCAAATGCGTATATATTTAGCGTCAGTACAAAGTTTATATTTGACATAGTTCCAATGCGTATATATTTAGCGTCATTAAAAAGCTTATATTCACATAGTTCAAAAGTGTATATATTTAGCGTCATTAAAAAGCTTATATTCACATAGTTCGAATGCGTATATATTTAGCGTCAGTAAAAAGCTTCTATTCACATAGTTCAAATGTGTATATATTTAACGTCAGTAAAAAACCTTCTACATATATTTCAAATGTGTATATATTTAACGTCCTGTGTTTCAGCTATCGACGGTTCCAGTCATCACCGGCAGTAAGGGGGTCCAGTTGTGGAAGGTGCTGAAAACGAAAAATCCCGGCAGTCTTAGCGCGCTAACCTGGGGCCTCCTTGCTTACATGGCCGGAGGTTAAGAACTTATTTTTATGAACTGTCTTATAAAGCCCTCTGATTATTTTACCTCTTTAGCTAGGTTTCAGGGCTTAAGTTATTTTAAAGTGGTGGGATAAGGTTTTCTTTTGCTAAGGGGTTATTAGGTTTAGTCCTATAGTATTTAAAGAAAGGGGTCATCCAAAAATGACGTCACGCTTTTTTTTGACGATTTTTACCTCACCCCCTCCCCTCCGTCACACATCGTCACAAAAAGCCAGACCCCCACCCCTAAAATGACGTCACACCTCAGTCTACAACCCCCCTCAAAATTGCAGTTGAATTTTTCTTAAATCATCGATATTTTTCCAAAATCTTGTCAGAACTCTGTCATCATAGAGTACTTTAATCAATTCCTATTAATATTTATTAAAACAGTTTTCTAAAACCCGAAATAACGTCTAAAATAAGTTTTCTAACATGGCTTTTTATAATGCAAAAGTGTGACGTCGCACCATTCGAACCCCCCACCCTCCCCCTCATCACACACCGTCACAAAATTACGGACCCCCCCCCTCCCCCCTCCGAATGTGACGTCGTTTATGGACGACCCCAAACACAATAATAATTAAATAATATGTGCTTGACCATAATTTACTAGCGCAAAGCAACGACTTTCTGGCAAGTAAAAACAAAAGATGTTTAACTATAAAATTTCCCCTTTACCTGGCCACCGTGTTTCCCTTTTACAGCTCGCGTCTTGACGAACCTTCTCCTAATCAAGGACGTCCCACTCTTGCTGAACGCCGCCATCACTACAGTGCTAAACGTTGCCATCAGTTCCTCCATCCTGTTCTACAACTACAAGAAGAAAGCCAGGAGCAGGACCAGAGCTCAGTCCTCCCGAGTGTGGGATTTGTGCACCGATTTTTTACAGTACCTCCACCCATTTTACCAGAGGCCGTTTGCACCCTGTCACTGAATACAAAAAACGAACACATTTTTAAATTAGAGATCTTTCATTAATGACGTCACACGCTTAATAAGGACAGGGTAAAAATTGTGACAAGGTGTTGGGGGGGGGGGGGGGGGGGGGGGGGGGGAGGGGGGGAATATGCGTTGTTAAGAATTCGGACTAAAGAAGCCCACAAGTTCTCTATTTCTGACTGACAACAAAATGAAACAGGCTCTACTTCACCTTTAAGGTACGGAAGAGTACTTAACGTTTACTGACAAAAAAAGATGAGTAGTATCTTATTGAGTTTCTTCCTGGCATCTCTCCGTGGGGGGGGGGGGGGGGGGGGGGGAAGAGAAAGTCAACCGCATCCCCGAACAAAATGGAATTTATATAGAAAATATATACTTTTGACAGTGTCCGCCCCCGGAAAATTTTAGTGCCCCCCCCCCAACCCCGGAGAAAATAATTCTGGAAGAAACACTGATCTTATTTTCTTTCTAATTGTTATTTTTCTAAGAGGTGTGTGCGTCATTTTCAGTGTTTCTTCTTGAAATTTCCGGAGGGGGGGGGGGGGGCACTGTTAAAAGTATATATTTTCTATATAAATTCCATTTCGTTCAGGGGGGGGGGGGAGGCGGTAGGCTTACTTCGGGGGGAGGGGGTGGGGGGCTGTGCCCCCGAAGATATGCCTGGAAGAAACTCTGGTCATTTTCTTTTTGCGATTGACTTTGACCAGTAGTGTTATTTTGAGTGCTTCTCACGCCAGGCAAAATCTTGTCAATTTCTGCCAGCACTCGTGAGTTTCTACATCTCTCCTGTAGACAGATATCATAGCTTGTGTTTGGAAATGTATTTCTAAATTATTTGTATGCGTATATTAGGGTACTGGAACATCATTGCCTTCAACTTCAATGTTTCTTAGCCCCATATCCTGATGTATACACCAGCGCTAAAGATTCTGAGTTTTGTATAATTTGGCAGGCCTTCTGATGTTTGAATAATAAAGGCAAAACGTTACGTCTGTGGGGGTGGGTGGTTTTAATGTCATTTTTTTAAAACTGGGAACGAGTCTAGCTGAACAGTGACGTTGCGAGGTCGGGTGTCACTCGGTGCGGCACTTAATGGTGTCACCCCCCAGAGGCGTAGCGACCCTTCCCAAGGACAAACTTTCAATTTTCGATTTGCACCCCCCCCCCTCAAACGTTCGATCGATTTGCACCCCCATCAAACTTTCGATTTGCACCTCTTAAAACACCATTTAACACTCGAATTAATCACTAAAAAGTGAAATTATCATTTTTCTCTATATATTTTGCTATTTTTTGCCTTGGTGTCACCCCCTTAAATGGTGTCACCCGGTGCGGTCCGCACCCCCGCCCCCCCCCCCCCCTCGCTACGCCTCTGTAGCTGAATATGTAAAGTGTTTAAAACATTAGGGGTGTAAATCCGTTTAAGTTAGGCGATTTCAATGATGGACGAACTCCTACACCATCATAATCCAAGACGTCGAATTTATTTTATTAGGTTTTAAAAAAAAATAAGCATTCAGTTTAAATGCATATTAATAATAAAACGAGTTAATGTCGACGCCCACCATAATCTCTATCTAAGCCAAGCTACAAGCAAGAGAGGGTTATAATTTAACCAGTTGGACAACAGAGCTCTGAATAGTTTGTTAACTGCCCCCCCCCCTCCTCCAGTGGTTATGGTCATCAAACACACACTCTAACAAGCTGTTAAACAAATAAACAAGTTATGAACAAAACATCACATTATGAGTTTATTTGTATTTGCCTGACATGCAAGTAAAAAAAAAGTTCCAACAAAACAGTGATTTTTTACATAAAATCTATAGGCCCCGGTATTATTTGAGGGTTTGTTTTTAGCCACTCTTGCATAATCTTTCTGTTTTATCACAAATAATATTAGTATGGTTATTATAATAAAGTACACACAAAGAACTTGAAAAAAAAAACCCGTATGTTTCTATCAAAGGTCTTCATTATACTATTGACAATAGAAACACAAGCTAGAAAACATTGACTTATTGCCATTGAGTAAAACAAGTTAGCAATACAAATATTTAGGCTTTATACACTTTAAATAAAAATAATGTAAGGTGAATATTTAAACATGTATGTCTTATGCTGATGTTTTTTCCACACCATTCAACCAAACATTCATCATTGTACATTGATCTATCAACCTAACAAAGAGCTCATAGTTTGACTTAGTCAAAATAAATGAAAAAACAACACAACCCACACATACATATATGTCTAAATCACAAGAAATAAAATTTCTTTAAGATGGTTCTATACAAATATTATTTCTAATATTTGGTTCAGTAACAAACACATTTTTTTTTTCAAAATTCTAGTGTAGTAGGCCTGGAAATAGTTCAAATAAATAGTTCAATACAAATATCATTTTCAATCTAGTTCAGTATAAATATAATATTTTAATATCTAGTGTAGGATGATACAACGTAGTCTAAAAGGAAAGCAGAGAGAAACTATCATATTATAAAAGAAATTACAGTAATACTAAAGAGGAAATTTGAACGCCACTTAAAATAAAACTAATAGCAGAAGTAAAAATTTAAAAGAGCAATAACACTATATGACATATCTAAATAGCTAATTGTAAACCCAAACTTAATACTATAAACGTAAATATATTATCTATTTAGTGTAAAGTTCTAGTAAAATGTAATGCTACTCTCCCTACAAACAATTATCTAGAGAAAAACATGAAAAATATCTATGCAGGAAATTAGTGTAAATAATATGCATATAAACAATAAACATAATAAATAATAGAAAATCACCAAATTGTCATTGATTTATTATATTGTAAGGGGGGCGTCAAATTTAAAATGAAACATGTCATGGGCTGGATGACAATTTTTAAAAACAAACATTTTGATAAGTTTGTACAAATTAGACAAAATGTTTACCAAAGAATATTCAGTGGGGTTTTCTATATAAGAACCATCATTGACATTATATAACATTTATTAAAGTAAAATTAGTATGTACATACTTGCTGATGATAAGTTTGATTAGAATGATTAAATACAATGCTTAAAGTGAAAAGTTTTGACAAAACAGAGAAGTTAAAGAAGTAAGTAAAGTACTTTTAGAAAAGTGAAAATAAAAGTGTCAGATGAAGTAGAGTTTGTGTTTTTATTTTGTTAAAAGAATTGTGTTGTTAGCAAATTGGCCAGTTGACTCTGTGTTCCTTAACTCATGCTTGGTCCCTATCAAAGCTAGGTGGACTAATGGACAGCCTAGACCCTCCAACCCCTGTGTTCAAACTCCAGACTATAAGGTCATCACTCTAGTGCTCTATCACTCGGCCACATCATCCATATCACCATCAAACACCCCGTTTATTTGACCTGCTTGATGTACTTCACACCATGACTATACCTCACATAACCGTCAGGATATTTCTTCAGCGGGGCATGTCTTGTAACTTGTGTGTTAACTGTTCTCTCAGGGCAGTACGACTGTGTGTGGGCATATGCCCCGGTGGCACCACATATTGGGCACTTGTACGCTCGTAGAGTGGGACAGATGACTTTTCCCTTGCCATCCTTGAGCGAATGAGATTTGTAGAATTCGTAAGTTTCGCCATTACTTTTACAAAAGCTGCAGTAGTGAGCTGAGTCCTGGTCTGCCTGGCTCATGCTGAGGTGCCTGTGTGAGTTGTTCAACTTCTGCATTGAAAGACAAGAAAAGGATTATATCTACTTAGTACATACTAAACCGATACAGTATATTTATGAATTTCAAGTATTTTCATAAACACGATGACATTGATAATACATACTGCTGTAAACATTTATATTTAAAAAAACTGTTATTATTTTTCTAATATTTATAATGTTCTGTCTTAAAATTGTATAATTACTGGATATATCAAATCACATTTATCACAGTGTAAAAAATTTTAGTTACCTGCCCTTAAATGTTTTTTTAAAAAAAAATGGTGACACATTACTGTAACATCTCACCAGTGAGACACAGTGAACTACAAATTCTTACTGGCATTTAGGCAATTAGATTAAAACACACAACTTAAGTTAGTACCCTTTAGAAACTTATTGTCAATGGTGCAGGTGAAGTAGAGTTCACCTGTTTCAGTGACCATGGCACATAAAGAGATGGTGGGTCAGCCCTATGCCCAGCCACCTTTACTTTCTGAAACCTGAGTCAGCTAGATGGGCCCAGGGATGTCATATAGACTCAACCACTGAGATATGAACTCGAGACCTTTGGGATAGCTGTAAAGTGCTCTACCATTCGACCACACCGTCCCACTAAAGTTAGTGCCTCACCTCATCAATAGGTTTACCAGCTCTGCGATTCAGTTTAAAGTGCCTGTAGTCTGCTTCAGCTGATGACTGGACTTTGGCTGGTGCTTCTACCTTCAAATTGTGGGCTGAGTTTAGCTGAGGTTGACCTGTAGAGACCAGCAAATATTTTCATTGTTTTTTATTTAAGTGAGGCTTAACATGAGACATGTTTCTTCAAGCAGTAACATAAAATGTGACTGAACAATAAACAACCATGTTTGGACCTGAATAGATAAGATCACAGTTTCTTTCAGGCATCTCTTCAGGGGTGCACCACCCTGTCGAAGCATGTCTATTGTACCCCGATTGAAATAGAATTTATGTATAAAATGTATACTTTTATCATTGTCTGCCCCGCCACAGGAAAATTTAGTCAGCCTCCCCCTCCCCCCAAAGAACACTGGATGCAGATAGAGTTTGTTTTATTATGACTTTGAGATATAAGACGCAGTATGATAGATGCCTTGTTTTCTAGGACTTAAGTCAGATACACATTAGAGCTGAAAAGATGGCTCAGAAATGTCCTGTGTGCTAGACACATCATCAGACTCAGGTCTCTAATGTTAGCAATCATGCGTTGTACCACACTATACTCAATGGTGATTTGAAATTAATCTACCACACTATACTCATTGGTGATTTGAAATTAATCTACCACACT